TTCTTTGCACATAGCCAGCAAAAACAATCATCATTAATATAAGAATATGTGGGAATTAAACACATGAATATAAAGAATGTATGATAACTAAAAACATGTGAAGATAGGAGTACGCACGATTATTCCTTCACTTACGTTATGAGAGGTTGCAGATAGAAATTAAAATACGTATGATGAAAAAGTGTTTTATTTTAATCAAATCTGGTTCAAAAACAAAACTGTTCTAGGTCACGGCATAAGTTCCGCTCAAATATAACATGCAGCCGGCTCGGCCGGAGCAGAGCTGGGACTCGAGAACTTCAGTCGCTGCCCGAGTTGAGTTTATCATTCATTTTGCAGAGCGAGCAAACAAAGTGATTTCATCAGTGTTCATCGTAATACATCTCGACTTGACCAACATAGCCTCCTTCACCTGCCAGGATGTTCTGCCAAGATGGTAAAGTGCTGTTGATTTTTTCGAGTCTGATAACAGACGGCACCGATACTGGTACAGCTTCAACCACAAACTACAGTCTGATGACAAAACACTTCAAAATGATCTTCCAACATGACCTCGATTTGATTTTTTAAAAAGAAAAATGCACTGGAAGTGCGAGAACGCCTTTGCCGACATACAAATATCTTTATCAGGTGAGATGGATCCACGCCAACATACTTGGACACCAAATACTACTTAATAGGAAAGGATGACTACTTTCCTATTAAGTGGGAACAGGTCAGTTCACAAACAGCAAATCCAAGACAGTAGATTCAGTAAATTCAGCGAAGTTTGGAACACGGTCACACGTACAAAGTTCGAAACTGTTCATTAAAAGCCGCATTAGACGTAGTTTCTCTGTTCATAGCCACCCGGAGGGATGGATCTGCTCGGTGGGTATATGATCTTTGATGGGGGCCCGTACCTCTTCTCGGGCTGCGGGGGGCAGCTGGAGCACAGGATGCCCCCGCCCAGGAGCAGGAAGGCGGCGGCGGCCCAACCGGCGTACAGAGCTGCACCGATCTCCCTCTTCTGGGCCTCAGGGATGACGGGATTGTAGAACTCCATGATGATGGCGTTGGCCGACCACGACACCGGGATGAGCTGGGTCACAGACGCCAAGATGAACGCCGCCCCGGCCCCGATCATCACCCGAGCTTTGGCCCGCTCCTCCTCCACACAATTGGTGCACTTGGCCCCCATCATGGACATCAGAATCCCCAACAGGCCCACCACTATGGAGATGA